CATCACCATCTTTAACCTGTGCTGGAGAAGATTGACACTCAAATTTTTTCTATTTATTTTTTGAATGATAATTATCTTTAAAAGGGGCGAAGTAAAAGAGAATCGGCACACATCAGCCCTTCCAGCTTAGGAAGAGGAGTTTTGAAGGTGTGAATGTACCAGACTTATTCCAACTTGCATTCCTTTCACCTGGCCTCAGAGTGACATGTTTACAGCTCTCCAGCACCCTGTCTGACCTTCTTAGGGCACTGGGCCATTTCAGGGTCATGGGGACTTCCCTCCTTTAAGGTGACACAGCTGAAAGCAGCTCTCAAGTGTGCTTTTAGGAAACATCTTTGGGCCCACCTCAGACCTTTTGAATGAGAATATCAGAGGGTAGGTCCTAGAGAAAAGTGCTTTTAAGCTGCCTGTGCTATTTTGACATCTTGCCTAGTGGGCTCCTACTTGTCAGCCTGAGTTTGGCTTAAGTACTGCTTTGCTGACTCTGTAGCACAGGGTGCATGGCGCATCCCAGTATTGAATAAATGTCTGTTGAGTGCACATATAAATGCATGGATGGGTAAGTGAGTAAGTGAACATCAAGGAAACAAATAAATGAGCAGCCAAGCTTGGGAAATGCTACTGGGGATAAAAGTCCCATTTACAGATTAGCTTTTCTGATTGCTGCTAGCAGCATACTCCTTATCATGGGATGTGTGTATGTTAAACTTGCTCTGAACAGGGACCACTTCATCACTTTGCAGCCTAACAGGGGCAACCACGAGGCTGATACTACCCAAGCTGTGAGTCAGATTCTTGTCTTTCTTATCTAATCCTGGGTCTCAAAAAGCACTATAGTTACTGAGGAGCTCCAATAATGATGTGATGGTTAATACTGAGTATCAGCTAGATTGGATTGAAGATTGCAAAGTATTGTTCCTGGATGTGACTGTGTCGCCAAAGGAGATTAACATTCGAGTCAGTGGACTGGGAAAGGCGGACCCACCCTCATTCTGGGTGGGCACAATCTAATCAGCTGCCACTACCTCCCAGAATAAAGCATGCAGAAGAACGTGGAAAGGCTAGACTTAATTGTCAATTAAGTGACCACTGTTTTATTTACAACTCACTGAATTCTGTCATGAGTCATGTTCACCCAACACCAAAGCAGTGGAGAGTCCAAGTGTCAGTCAGGCTGGACTTTATGTGGCATAGAATCCCATACTCAACTGTTCCAAGGAACGGATTCCTCTTGACTGGCTGTGATATACACCAGGCCAGGGTGAATGTGTGAGGTCTTGCAGGTTTTGTGCAGTTCACAGGTGACCTAATTATAGAGCCCAGAGAATGGTGAGACAAGTCAGCCTGGGTCATGAGCTAACTTAACATGTGCGACTGAGACAAGAAGGGACAGATGGTGGTGGAGGTTTACAACAGGTAAGGGGCCTGGCCTTTCTAGAAGTCAGGATAGGCAAGAAGTGGCATGGCTGACACCCAGGCCAGACCTGCAGGCAGAAGCTGAAACAAACTCTAGTGACTAAAGTCAGCACCTAAGAAGAGTCTGGAAGCCAGAATTACCAGATGAATCTTCAGATGAACAAACCTGTGGACAGGGGTCCAGAGCCTTAGTCAGAGTTTCAAAGATCATGACCCATCCTAGACGTCAGTCCAAGTTCAAAGTTAAAACAACCACACACCAGAGCAGCTGGACACCTTCCCAACACATTTAATTTCACCAGAAAGTTATAAAGTCAGTATTATAATCACTGCCTATTGCTGAGATGGGCAATAGTTCCAGATAATAGTAGTAACATAGATAGGGTTTGTTGAGTATTCATACTGTATTAGCATGTATTAATTCGCTTGATTCTTAAAATTCAAAAAATACTGAATGTCCAATACAGAGAGGGAATTGAGCTAAGTGCTAAGAATTTAAAGAGAAATAAAACATTGCCATCACCCTCATGAGCTTTGAGTCTAGCACAGTGGTTTCCAATGGCGAGAATTCTGCCTCCCAGAGGACATGTAGCAATGGCTAACAGCCTTGACTGTCACCACTGGGGAAGGATTCCTAGTGACACCCAGCAGGCAGGGACCAAGACGCTGCTAAATACCTCACAATGCACTGGATGCTACAGCAAAGAGTCACCTGGCCCCGAACGTCAACAGTGCAGAGCTTGAGACACCCTGGCGGAGAAAGTGGCATCTACACACATACCTGTAAGTGCAATGAAGTGTCCCTTGTGAGGAGATGAGGATGTATAAGACGCAGTGGGAATTTAATAGAAAGGATGAGCAATTGCACTGGAGTGCATGCAGGGGGCCGGGGGTGCAATGAATAAAAGAGGCTCAGGAAAGAATTTGAAAAGATGGGTCTTGAGAGAGGAAGAGGTGTCCCCCCGCCAGCGGCTGGGGTGTGGGGCAGCTAGGGTCCTCCTAAAAGGGGCAGCTGTGTAGGCCAAGGCCAGGGGCATGCTGTGGCCTCTTAGGACCTGGAGAGGCTGTCGAGTCCTTGGTTTTAGGTTCCATTCAGTTACAAAAACTACTTTTTGAGATTTTTAAATACAAAGATAATCACATAACAGTTTTACCCTCAAAGAGCTCAAATTTTGTAAGACCAGTCATGTCTCTAAATCAAACTAATTCCTCTTGGCAAGGTTTTGTTTTGGGACATAACTAAGAAAACATTATAAGTTAGAGAAGTTCCCAGTGTTGATCCTGACATATATTCTAAACATTCACTACTGTTTGATTCACTTGGAAGGGTTTAAGACCAAGCCAGTGAAACCAATTTGCCTTTGTGAATACTCTGAGTTTAGTCTGAGAAGTATAGGAAGTTAAGAAACTGCCCAGTAAGTTTCCTTTTCAAAAGAGGGCCTAATGAGATCAAGAGCCTATGAAATATTTTTGGAATTTGCTAGAACTTCTTGCACTTTCACCTAGGGCTGCCATTTATTAATAACCTTTTCCTACTTAGTCCCATTGCATAGGAATTGTCAGCTAAGCAAGCCAGTCCTCTCTGCTGGAGATTCGCTTATTAACAGAGGGTAGAAAGACGATTTATAGAAATGTTGGCTTGGACATCCAGAGTTCAAATGTACTCCAATATACTAAAATAAAAATAGCAATGAGATGGCAGGATAAAGAGAAAATGTACTAAGGATTACATAAAACTCTCCTTGACGTGGCAAGCAGACATTTCTAAAACTGTGGTATTCAAACCCTCTTCTTATAGCCTAGGATAGGGTTACAGGAACATCATGTGCTTGGTAATTGATCAAACCATTAGAAATAACAACATAAAAAGTTAAAGCTTTGACAGGCTTGTTGCTTTTCAGCAAAAGTGCTGATGTGCATCTTTGCAGAGTTCTATAAAATTGCGGTGGGAAAAGGGAAATTTATGTTGGAAACCCTCCACTCGTCAGCTGAATTTCCACTGCCGTATTTACCAGGCTGTCTGGCTGGTGGCTGGCTGGCTGCGACAGGGTCGAAGACCAAGCCCAGAGCTCATGTCCAGATATAAGAGGCTGCACCTCCGCAGGCTGCCAGGGAAGTTAAACCAGAAGGGGCCATCAGGCCAGCAAAGGCGAGATCCGCATGTGACATGGGGGCCGGGAGGTGAGGACCAGTATGGAAGGAAAGAAGACCCGAAGCCACAGAAGAAACCTCCCTGCAGAAGAGATTACAGACGATTTTATGAGTGGACGCAATCTCCTGCCTGGTCAGAGGGAAGAGAAGAAAACATATTTACCTTGTGGCCTTACTATGGGAAAGAATAGCAACCCTGTGACTGCAGGGAGCCTCAAAATATTTATAAACAGGGCTCCTAGAGTCTCCCCTGAAAAGGGAAAGCAGATCGCCCTGTGTTTTCTTGTTCACAGATGTGTGCGCCTGAGTGGTGCTGGTTCTTAGTGGCTTGTTTTAAGTGCAAGATTCAAGGATGTTTGTGTCAGAGTTGGAAATGGTGTCCCATCACTGGAATAATGGGTTGTCATCTTTTGAAATCATTGCCTCCATATTCCTGTTGCTTTTACTGTTTTTTCTTCACTAATTAATCTCACTTTTATTCTGTGTCCCATGTCCTGGGGAGGACGGAGGAAAAGAAAGACCATGTAACTGGAGGGGTCTGCAGAGGTGGCAAGGGGCACCCATGGGCTGAAGCCCACCCAGCTCTGCTGAGCCCTGAGCCTGCTCACTCATCCCCACAGGTGTGATGCATTTAATCCATCCACTGCAGGGGACAGGTTTCCCTCATTCCACGAAAATGCTGCATGTGCTGGGCTGGCCCTGGGCTTGGGTCCTGAAGGCCGCCACATGCTGGCGAGGCTGGACCTGGAATGTGGCTCTGAGCACAGAATGGGCGAGGACAGACTGGCACTGATGTGCCAGGTGAACTAACTGTTCCCATTGGACGTGCCCAGTAGGGCCATGGTTCATCCATGGAGGCTGTGCCCTCTTGGCATCAGAGGTGCACATGTGTGCGTGCGTGTGTGCACATGGACGCATGTGGCTCTGTGGAGTCTGTGTGAGGCTGCAATTGTCATAAATGGTCAGCTGAGGATGACGCTATGGTAGGTGGTCCCAGAATTGGGAGGAATGCATGAGGAACAAGGATAGAGCAGGAGTGGTGTCCCTGAAAGCAGGGCCTGGATTCTAAATTCTGTAAGCGGGATGGAGGTACAGCAGGGGTGAGCCTCAGTCTTCATGTTCTGCCCGGTGCTGCCCTGAGGCCTGTGGGGATGGATGGGAAGCTGGCCCCTGGAGACCCCGACCCAGTTGAGAAGAACAGTGGCTTAGAACACAAGAATAAGCTGGGAAGAGCCGGGAAACTAGACAAGAGACACAGGTTCTAGTTCCAGCTCTGCCACTAAATTGCTGTGTGACTCCCCTCCCCCGGCCCCCGTAAGTGGTTAACCTCTCTGGGCCACGATTTCCTAATCTGTGAAATCAGGAAGGTTGGACCTCTATCTGTGGGATTTGATGGCGTGATGCCTCACAGAAAGTTCTCCGCTCCCAGGCATCACGGGAAGATGAAGAGCTTCCCCAAGGATGACCCTTCCAAGCCGGTCCACCTCACAGCCTTCCTGGGATCCAAGGCTGGCATGACCCACATGGAGCAGGAAGTCAACAGGCCAGGATCCAGGGTGAACAAGAAGGAGGTGGTAGAGGCTGTGACCATCGTGGAGACGCCACCCGTGGTGGTTGTGAGCTACATGGAAACCCCTCCAGACCTCTGGACCTTCAAGACCATCTTCACTGAGCATGTCAGCAATGAGTGCAAGAGGCATGTCTATAAGAATTGGCATAAATGTAAGAAGAAGACCTTCGCCAAGTACTGCAAGAAACGGCAGGATGAGGATGGTAAGAAGCAGCTGGAGCAGGACGACAGCCAAGTCACCCGCGTCACTGCCCACACCCAGATGTGCCTGCTTCCTGTGCGCCAGAAGAAGGCCCCCCTGGTGGAGATCCAGGTGAACGCAGGCACCGTGGCCGAGAAGCTGGACTGGGCCCGCGAGAGGCTGGAGCAGCAGGTACCTGTCCATCAAGTGTTTGGGCAGGAAGAGATGACTGACGTCACCAGGGTGACCAAGAAGCTGCCCTGCAAGACCCACTGAGGCCTGCACAAGGTGACCTGTATTGGGGCATGACATCCTGCCCATGTGGCCTCTGTGGCATGCACTGGGCAGAAAGGCTACCGTCACTGCACTGAGATCGACAAGATCTATAAGATAGGCCACGACTACCTCATCAAGGACGGCAGTCTGATCAAGAACAATGCCCCCACCGACTATGACCCGTCTGACAGGAGCATCAACCCTCTGGGTGGCTTTGTCCACTATGGTGAAGTGACCAGTGACTTTGTCACACTGAAAGGCTGCGTGGTGGGAACCAAGAAGCAAGCGCTCACCCCCCGCAAGTCCTCGCTGGTGCAGACGCAGCGGCGGGCTCTGGAGAAGATTGGCCTTAAGCTCATTGACACCACCTCCAAGCTTGGCCATGGCCGCTTCCAGACCGTGGAGGAGAAGAAAGCATTCATGCGGCCACTCAAGAAAGACGGAATTGCAAAGGAAGAAGGAGCTTAATGCCAGGAACAGATTTTGCAGCTGATGGGGTCTCAGTAAAAATTATTTTCCACTGACAAAAAAAAAAAAAAAAAAAAAAAGAAAGAAAGAAAAAGAAAAATCAGGAAGGTTGGCTAGATGGCTTTACAGTTTTTTTCTTTTTCTTTTTTGATGTCCTGAAATACTGTGGTTTTAGAAGAAGAATGAATGGAATTGCACAGCTATAAATTAGCATAACACAAAAAAGATCCCAGCTCCCTGGAATCTTCCTGTGTACCTCAGGTACCTCGGCCAAAAGCCCGAGCCTTCCTTCCTGGCCTGTTCTTGTCTCCATGCATTTGAACCAAAGTGTCCCTGCCTCCCTGAGCTCAGGGTGTTTTTCTGGCCTGTGCTCCAGTCCCTGGGAGCGTCCTGGGGCTGTGGGGGTGGGCACATCACAGGCACTTCTGTCTGGGAGGGGCACTCCTCAGGGCGTTGAGCCCACCCGGCCAAAGCAGCAAGGAACGGGAGAAATGGCGAAGGATCTCCACGCAGAAATCGCAGCACGAGACTTCCTCCTTGTACCCGGTGCGCAGTTGCTTCCTGCCCAATGCTCCTTAGAGAAATGGGACAGGACAGGCGACAGTGCTAGCAGGCCCACGAGCGTGTGTTGGTGGCAAACAGAGCATCCTAGGTTCGTATTGCTGGTGGTAGAAGAGGGTCATGTTTACATGAACAATCTAAGGACAGTGACTTTTCCTCCCTCTGGCCTTCCCAGAGCTCACAAACGAGTCCCAAAGGTACCCTGCGGCTGCCTTGCAGAATCGGCCTTCCCCGGAGCCCCAGGCGGGCGCGGCAGCATAGCACCAAGGGGCGAAGCTGGGGGGGTGGAGCAAGGGGCTGCCCCCCTGCTGTGCTCCCAAGTCCCCCAGCGCCCGCGCCCTGTCCCTGCAGGGTGCAGACAGGCTGGGAGTTCTTCAGGCACTCACCCTGGACACACCCTATCCTGGATCCTCTCCCCACTGGGAGGCGGGGGCTGCAAGTGGCGACCAAAGATGGGCCCCCGCTTCCCTCCTTTCCGCCCCCATCCTCTGTCATTCTAGAGCTCTTTGTCTTCAGTCATCGATGACGATGTCCCCATCCCAGGGGACACAGAGACATTTTTCCTCCCCAAGGGATCTTCTTTGTTGAGTTCCCAATGGCCGCGATGTGATTGACTCCAGAAGGAAAGACCACAACTAAAATGGGACATTTTACGCCCACCGAGAGTCTGCATGCCCCTGGCCAGGTCAGGTGGCTGGAGCCTGTGACATGGTCCAGCTGCCCTCCGTGAGGTCTCCTGACCTCAGAGGAGGTGGTCGCATGTGGCCTTGCAGCGCCGGTAGCTCCACTGTCAAATGCAGGCAGGTAACCCTGGCCCCTTCCTGCACTCTGGGAGGGTTCCCATGGCCAATGTCTTACCTGTCCACAGGACTTAGTACAGTTGAGGGCACACACTGGCCATTTCTATCCAGCTTTTCAAGAACCATAAAGAGAACCAACCAGGGTTGTGCTTTTTAACTTCGTAAATACACACACGCAGGCATTTGCCTAAGGGTGTTTTATGTGAACTGTGTGAACTGTGTCTACATATTGAATATGAGATACTGAAATGGTAGAAAGTTAAAACCACTGTTTTAACTTTTAAAAACATTACGTAATTGACAAAGCCCACTTGATAAGAGCCATTCCCAGGCAAAAATGTTGATGGTAGCCCTCGTAAAAGGGCCTAAGATTGCCCGGACTGACACAAACCTGGCGCAGCTCCGATCTGGAGTAAGTGAATTTCTTCTAGACATGTAATTTCCATTCGTGTTTGATCTGGAAAGCTACTTGTTCATTATTAACTGCCTACAGAAAATATGATTCCTTGCTATCCTTGATTTATGAGGATTTTTTAAAAAAGACTATCAAGTGAAAATCAGCCACAGTCATTTGACAAAAATGAAAGCTTGCATCTCTAGAAGTGATTTTCTCTTGAGACGGAACCTAAGTCAGAATCATCGGTTTCTGTCACCAGCGGTTACATGAACAATGGCAGCATCTTAAAGACTTCACTTCCTCCCAGGCTTAGCCTTCTGGGTAGCATTGATATTGCCGTAATGGACAAGTGTTTGCCAAACACTGAACAATGGTCCATGTTGGGAGCAGAGCAAGAGGTCAGTAAATCCATAGGAACAATACATACTGCTGATATTTCCGTGTGTATGTGGATGCTGTTGGGATGAATGAAATACAAATTAACTTAAAAGTGTTGCTCTTTGACACGGTCCCATCTCACTCAATGGGGTATATGGGTGGGGGCTGACGAGGATTTCCTGAAATACATTTTTTTGTTGTCAAGTTGGGAATCACACCAGTCAGACTTCCACTTCAGGTCTTTAAGCCAAATTACTCATTCTTATTTCTAATTTTAGAACTTTTGCCGTATTTTCTATAGCATTATTCACTACGTAGAGAACTTATTCCAAATTGGGTTCTTCTCATCAAAGTATTTTTGAAAGAACTCAAAACCTCAATATGTTTTACCCCAAAGATGACTCTTTAGTGATATTTCCACAAGGTATCATTTTATTTATCACCGATTTATGCTTTCTTCCACCAACCACCTCAATTTATGTCTGGAGTAATCAAATGAGTTCTGAGTCGGTTTCAACGGAGATTATGAACTGGTGTTTCAGTTAGGGGAAAGGATTGGCCACCAGCAATCTGTATGTAGTTCCACCTCATATTATCCATCAGCTTTGTTCAATTAAGTGGCTAAATTGTTTAACCAGGTGGGTGTGACACTTGGCACAAAGCTCAGCATGGGTTACTGAGAGAGCCACTCAGCTGAGCGCCTCTGGTGGTGCCATGACTGTGGTCTCAAGAAGGCTGGTAACCCATCAGATTGAACCACTTCTGTTGACATAGACATTAAAGAGCAAAAGCAGGATGCAGGAGGCAAGGAGTGAGAGCCGAGCCATGGCAAAGTGTATCTAGAATCGCTGAAGAAGCTTCCAGCGCAGAGCAGTCCAAGGCCACCAGCAGCAACTGCAGAAGGAGAGAAACACACACTGCCATTGCAGGCAGATCCCCCCAGGCTTCAGTGAAGGGACTGCTCTAGGCATCTAATGCAATTAAAAAAAATCTACCCCAAGTAGATTCCTTGTTAGTCTTCATGATTGTTTCCATGTTCCAGCCTCTCATGCCTTCTTTTTAGATTTAAAAGTAAAGCACCCATCCAAGACCCTGCTCCAGACCTCGCCAGGACCGGCCTCCATGAACTGAACTCCTAGAAACTGGTGCATTTTGAGGGCAGGGAAGGAGGCTGACTTGGATACTGTTGAACAACAGAATAAGGAATTATATGTTTTCCTGCTGGAATAATACTTCTGCCCTCTTAGACGAGGGTCTCTGTAAGGTCTCATCCACTGTTTAATCTTTTCTCTTCTGTCTGGATTTGAAATGAATGATCCAAATTGGTCATATGAACATCATGCTCTGTGGAAGGCTGAGTTGGAAGATGGCTGGGTCCTAGGGCCTCGTTAAATCAAGCATATGTTCTGAGCAGTTAAAACACCCTTGGAGACAGTGTGTTTACAGTTTAACTTCCAACAACAAAAGAAATTGGAGTGAGTTAAAGTGGAGCTCTGGGCCTTATTGCAGGCAACATGCATGGGCATTTCCTGGCAGCTCAGCGTCGTGTTTCTGTGTTTCTGTCACTTCTCCTAACACAGACCCTCCTCATTTCCAACATCCTGGACTTCTGTGGACGTTTGATCTTCCTAATGGCAGACCATTTATTTCCACTGGAAGTACCCTTCTGGCCTCTCCAGTGAGATGTGCTGAGTGACCGCTACCTGAAACTTCCCTGGCTTGTCTCAGAGTTGAGGGAGCTGTGCTACCTTCTACAGTAGCAAAGCTGATTGCTGGGGTCCTTACAAAATCATGAGATATTTTAATTCTTCAGCAGGGATCGGAGAGAACCTGCAGCAAATCCAGTTTTTACTGTTCCTATAGGGGCAGGGTTTAACTTTATTTTTCCACTTGGAGACAATCCTATACATACAGAACATTGCCAATACAATTATGTCTCTTCAGTTTAGAATTGTATGTGCAATTTGTTCTGTTGTGGTTCATGACAGCAGTTTTATAAGACAGTGGGTTTACTGTATGATTATAAGGTGAAAAAGGTGCATTAAGAATGAGCTTAAATGCTTTCCAAGTGCCCTTAGATTTCGTATTTTGTTTGTTGTTGTGTAAAAAGCAATTTATTTTCCCATGGTTTTAGATCTTCTCTAAATTCCACAGAAAAAAAATCACAGAAAGACTAAAAAGAGATGAAAATAACTAATAATTAAGTGGCCTAATTAACTTATAAACACTTCAAACTTGTTTTAAAAATAATAACATACCATATTCAGTCAAAATCAAATACTGGAACACTCACCCAAATGCCTTCCAGATTCAACCTCTGAACCTCTGGGCCTGACCTCTGCTCACTTCAGGGAGAATGACTCCTTTTTGCCTGGGAATTCTGCTGGAGGTACAGGGACAAAATTTACCCTCCCACTTGAAACAGCTAGAAAACCATGCAAAATATATGAAGCCATTGTTTTCGAAACACTGGGCATCAGGTAGTGAAAGCTAGTAGTCCCTGAGAAATAGGAAACAAATGAGGTGAGCCCTGTAATTGCCCTGGCTCACTGCCTTGAAAAAGTTTTCAGGACATAGGACAGGGAGGGAGATCCCAGGTGGAGCCTGGTGAAAACACCGAGTGAAAATTAGAGTGGCTGGACCTCACAGTGCAGAAACCAGAGACGAGAGAACTCCACCGAGAGAAGCGAAAACTCTTCAGGTTGGAGATTGATTAGCTCATGCACATGAGGAAAATAGAGAAGGCAAGGAAAAGAAATATCCAACAGGATTACAGAAAACAGTACCTGGGGTTCATACAGGATGAATAATGGTGCTGTTCTACCAGCCAGACAAAAAATTCATAATTCTGAGGCATTGGGTAGAGTGCTCAGAAGAGTCTTGCCTTGATTAAAAGGCAGAGCTGTCAGAATAGATAAAA